CTCGAGCAGGTTTCCCCAATTGGTTTAATTGTGGTTTTAAAAATAAAACTGTTGTATTTTATTATGACAATTATACTTGAAAGGTATATGATGGTCTATTTCTTGCCCTGATTATGATTATAGAAATTATTTAAATAATAATACTGCAAAATTTAATTGGAATGACAATATTTTGCCCAAGCCAGATCCTATTCATTATTGGTATACTCCTGGATGGGCTACACCTATTTGGATAAATAATAACACCAGAGCAACTCCACAAACTCAATTATACCGTTTGTTTGCTGCTCTGAATGTAACCAAATTTCATAGGCCACAAAATAATAGAACTTATTATATACAAGCTTGTGTACATGCCCTTTACGCTATTTTGGTTTACAATAATTCAAACCAATTAAATATAACTTATTCAGGAGATATAACCCATGTTGATTGTGTTAATTGTTCCATTACTAATTGTTTAGATCCCTTTTTCCCTCAGCAACACTATTTCTTGTTAAGGCGACCCCCTTATGTTTTACTTCCTGTGAATGTTTCACAATCCTGGTATGCTGATCCAGGATTTGCCGCTTTGCAAAAGTTAGAATATGCTTTGTCTCGTCCTAAACGTTTTATTGCAGCTTTAATTTTAGGAATTTCTGCTTTAATCGCTATCATAGGGTCTGTCGCCGCTTCTACTGCTGCTTTGGTACAACAAGTTCATACAGCTGAACATATTAATAATTTCTCTTTAAATGTTTCCACAGCTCTCTTTCAACAAGAAAAGATAGGTAAACAATTAGTAGATAGGATTAATGTATTAGAAGAAGCAGTTTTCTTCTTAGGACAAGAGATACAAAACATTAAGGTTCAACTTACAACTGCTTGTCATCATAATTATAAATGGATTTGTGTTACTCCCCTTTCTTATAATGATTCTCATGCTTCATGGCAACAGATTCAGATGCATATAAAAGGAATTTGCAGTCATTCTACTCTAGGAGTAGATTTAACAAATTTACATGAAAAAATATCCGAACTTTCTTGTGCCCAATTACAATCTATAGTCCCCGAAGATGTGGCCAACGGGATATTCCAGTCCCTTCATTCTGCTTTTATGAATACTTCCTTTTGGTCCTTGATACATTAAGCTGGTGTGTTCATAAATCATAATTATTATTATTATTGTTTGCTTTCCAGTCCTCATCAGATACCTCGGATCTGCAATAAAGGCAACACAACGAGAACTCCTCACCCTCAAATTACAAAATAGAAAAGGGAGAGATGGCACGGTCCACGCTGTGGCAGGGTCCTAAAGGAGTCAGCATGGGCTGCCCTCTCCGAGTTGGCAAGGCCGCCGGAGGGAGAGTTGTTGGCAAGGCCACAGCTACGAGCACTTGCTGCAACCAGAAGGACTGCCTGCCTCGGCTTTGTGGCTTTTGCCTTCTCTTTCGATATTTTGGTTAGTGTGGCAGTTCTCTAAATTCCTAAAAGATTATAAAAGTAACACAAATAATTATGTAGTCATTGAACTAAACATTCCCACAGAGGATCTGAGTAAATTGGACAATTCAAAATTATCCCCTTATGATAAATTGACCACACCAACATATGTTCCAAAAGCACCGCTCATGACTAAATATGAGCTGCAGCCTAATGTAAGTTGGCAAACATCATTTACTGGAGGTTATATTAATGGCAAGAGAATGGTTGGCATTAATGAGAAATTATATGATTGGGACAAATTAAGTATATGGGAACGAAACTGTAGAACCCCCTTTACTTGGTGGTGTCCAGTTTTAAATAAATCATTAAGAATCAGGTGTTGGGATAAAAATATATGCTGTAAAATTATTAAACCTGAAAAATTAGATCTTAGAAGAATAAGAGAGTACACCTAGTTTTGTGAGGGATGGTGCTGTGCACAAGGACACTTTAACATTTAGATCAAGATAACAGGGCCATAGCAAATGCATAACCTTAAAATGTGCACGATAATCAAGTATCCGCTGTTCTTTTACATTTGGCTCCCACCCTGTTAACAGGGTGGATCTTAACCACAGTTTCCTACAAAGAAAGGTCACAAGATAACTTCAAGACAATGAAGGAATGATTTGCATCTGATTCCAGGAAGAAGCACGAGTTAATCACGTAAGACGTGCTAACCTCTAAAAAAGTTTCCTCCCTGCTTTATGGACTATTGATTTAAGCTTGCTGATACAATAAAAATAGTACCCCAAAACCCCCCTGCAGAGAAAAAACTAAATAAAAAGCATTGTCTCATTCTCTACTGGGCTCCAGCTGCAACACGCTGACAGCCCGCAGAGAGAGAACATGCATACTGATGCACTGAGGTCTCTGTCTATGCTTTTTATTTTCGCCGGCTTTCCCATCCCTCTTTCAAGGACCCGCAAACTCGACTGGAGCTAGTCTCCGGCACCTAGGAAATTTATTTTCTTGGCAACTATTGTAAACAGGCTTGCTTTATTGATTTCTTTTTCTGCTAATTCATTATTGGAGTATAAAAATATTTATCTGACAGAATACAGAAGGAAATATAATAAAGAGATTTACGCTTTATTTTTTTCAGAAGAAAACAGTTATTAAATAAGTGCAGAAAGCATAGCTAAGTGAGAGGTATAATGAAAGTAACATGTATCTACGCAGCATGGGAGCCCCAAATCTGAGAGGGCACTCATGTAGTATTTACCTACCCCAAAGAAGTTAGAGGTTCAGCAGGTAGAGACACTGGTTTATTAGACTTATGAGAGGTACTGAGGCAGTAGTCAGTAAGAAATCCACACTGCTATGGACTACAAACAACAGTTATGTAGTTAACAGATCAGAGTAGGGGTGTAAATTATTTTAAGATTTACATGCAGACCCTCACCCAAATCACATAACTCAGAGAGCACTGGAGATCTGGCTGGGTAGATAAGTTAACCTACTGGCACCTGAGTGTTTATTCATTTACTTAGGGTCCCTTCTCCCTCAGAATTCTGTTTGTCTTAAAGAGGATTTTCCTTTCCTTGGGTAACTACCTTGGCCAGGGTTAGTCTCCCAGGGGGAATGGGGACTCTGGTATTCAGCATTTACTCTACAATCTACAATATGCCAAATACTCTTTTAGATGTTTTGCACATGTAATTTTTTAACCTTCACAGCAGACTGAGTAAATAGTATTCCTATTTTACAAATGAGGAAACTAAAATTGAAGAAGTTGCCAAGTAATGGAAGTAGCACAGCTATCAAGTACTAATGGGTATTCAAATGAAGTTACATCTGACATTTTTTTTTTTTTAACCAAGAAAGACTTCTGAATTTAGAGACCAGAGAAAGTCAGGAATTACCCTGAACTGTGTAGTCATGATCTGGAATTTAGTTAAATATAGGTGTTATTTTATTCTGTCTGTACACATGTATCCAGTGTCTGCCTCATGCAAGCCTCTATACAAGCTACATGCAGCTGTCAGGCAGGGTTTCCCACGTTGTGCTCTGTACACGGTGTCCAGTCAAGGGGGAGAGGGGGCTAAACTCCAGCCCTTGAGCCACTCACCAAGCTTTGAACCTAAGGGCCTACATTTGCCACAGAAAAGGCAATTTTTTCCATTTTACATAAAAGTAAAATATGGGCTAATAGAAGTTCTGGATATATGGCTCAATCCCTGCAATCTACTGAAAATTCAGATTGTGCCTAGAAGATCTGATAGAAAGGAACTCAATCCTTCAGTATCAAGAAGAGATGAGTATGTGGATTCTATCTGGTCTGGAGGGCATAAAAGCAGGATAGAAGTAAAAAGTAACGTCCAGAAGAGGACGCAAAATGTAAGTTGAACCTAAAAGGGTCTTAGATACAGTAACTGACCTGTGACCTGGAAATGTATCTAACTGTAGCACAAGATTGCTCACTCTGAGATTAATTTATTGCCCTTTTAACTATTGCTGTTGACTTAGTACTTATGGGGGGAAATGGCAGGCAGTTACTGCATGGGGTGGGGACCAGTGGTGTTTAGAAGACTATATAACCTGAAGAGGAGATTTAGACCCTGTTTAAGCCTTGGGTAGCAAAAGCATAGTAATGCAGGGTTGCCTATGTTGTTTCAGCACAACTTATTTCTTACATTTTACTGAGTAATTTGGAGCATTGTTTTGTTCATCTTTAATTTTACAATTCAATTACCTAAATGAAATTATAACAACATAAGCCTTACTATTACTGTAATATTATATTTTTTTTATCTCATTGAACATTGGCACAGAGTTCTAATGAGAAACGTTTCTCATAAAGCAGCAAACGACTTCATTATATATTTTAGAAAAAAAAATTTCATTAGAAGCAAGAGTTTTAATTCTAGATTTTTTTTTTTTTTTTTTCCTTTTTGTCTTTTTTCGTGACCGGCAACGGATCGCAACCCTCAGTGTTGCTCCCGCACCTCGCTCAGCCAGTGAGCGGCCGGTCTGTATGTGGGATCTGAACCCTTGGCGGGAGCGCCGCCGCGCTTCTCAAGCGGCGCACTGTAGCAGTGCACCACCGGGCCGGCCCCTTAATTCTAGATTTTGAATGATCAACAGCAACACCACTTCAGTTGTAAAATATTATTTTATTGTCTGAGAGCCTTTCAAGTCATATAAGATAATATCATCTATGTATTTTTTTAATATTTAGGGGAGAAAATAATTCTTCTTTATGAGCTTTGGTATATAATTTCACAATAAAATAAATTACTTCCTAATTTTTATTGCAATGTAGTAGTCTCATTTACTGAAAGGCATTTTCCAGCTGTTACTATAACATATTGAAAATATTTAGAGGCCATATCAGTGTAGGAGAAAGTATGGAACAGAGATTCAGGTGCAAAGAGAAAAATTTTGATTCTAGGGGTATTTTGGTTGATATGCAATGGGACTCACACTAGCATAAGTAGAGGGGGGATTTTATTATAAACTTCACTTCTTTTTCCCAGAATCCTTCACTTCTTTTTCCCAGAATCCAAGAGCAGCAATATGGTCAGGCCTAATGAGGTACTGAAAGTATAAATGGAAAAGCCATTTGAAAACTACTCATTAGAATGGGTAAAGGGTCACGAAAATCAACTACAATGAATATTGAGAAGTTAAAAAAGTAAAAAATAAAAATAAAAAATAAAATAAAATAATTAAAAAAAAGAAAAAGAAAAGAAAACTACTCATCTCACGTGTTTGTATCTCCCTTTTCTTGTGGCTTCATGGTCTTTCATCATTGCTTGCATCTGCTTTTTTTTTCTTTTTTTCTCTCTACAGACTAGTTCCAGCTACTTATCTCTGCACGCAGCTTAGGAGGGTTACCCAACAGATTTAGTACTACTAGTAGATTTGCTACTAAACTGTAAAGGCCAACGAAATGCCTGGAATAGTAGAAAGAAGAGAATGATTCTTGATATCTAGGCCTAAGTGACCTACTATTGGGACTGCATGCCTTTGTCCCTTCTCCTCCAACTTCCACCATTCCAGAGGCATAAAGTGAGTCCTCACCTATATTATTTTAATGAAAGTTTTCATACACTTCTAAATAGATAATGACATAATCAAGAGGTGGGTATTTGAATGTTTCAGTGACTTAAATAGTCAATTCCATTGGAAATAAAGAAAAAGATATGTGTTTTCATAGTGAAATAAAGATAATGTCCTACTGAAAGAGAAACAGCAGCATTGCCCTGTAATAATATCCACTAGCTCAGTGGTTTTGAAAATTGGGCATAATCTGGAGAAATTATTAAAACACAGATTTCTGGGACCTACCCCCAGAGTTTCT